TACAAAGTAAAAGTACATTGATGAGGACTTCTATAATGTAGTTATCTTTAACCAGGCTTTTTATATTGCATACGCATTTTCAGTTTCCTTGTTCAGCTGTCCTTTCATTCAGCTTGAAAGACTTCCTTCAATATTTCTTTGTAGGGCATGTTATTCTTAATGTTGCTTTCATTTTCAAGAGATAGTTTTGCTAGATATAAAATTCTTGGCCAACTCATTTTTTCGCCAGCATTTTATGTGTGTCATTCACTCTTTTCGGACACCATGGTACCTGCTGCGAAGTGTGTGGAGCCATTTCATGCAGTAATCATTTTTTTTTCATTACTGTTTTCTCAGAGATTCTTTTTGGTTTTTGACATTTGGATATGGTGGGTTATTGAGGTATAAGGTTTATCCTACTTGGAATTTACCAAGATTTTTGAATAATGCAGCCTAATGTTATTCAACAAATTTGGGCAAATTTGACTATGATTTCTTTTAAATTCTTTCTGTTCTTTTCTCCTCTCCATCTGGGGAACTCACAGCACTTCTATATTGTTTACCTGATTGTGTCTTTCAGGTGTATGAGGTTTCTTTATTTTCCTTTCTGTTCCAACGAAGCAGATAATCTTAAACTGACCATATCTTCACCGTTAAAGACTGATGTCGTTTTCCAGAGGAAATGCTTACTCCGCTTGAGCGTTATACTCCTGTGTTCATTTTAGGATTATAATTTTCATCTCCAAAATTTTTATTCATTATCTTTATGCATTTCATCCCTGTACGTATTTTCTATTTAAAGAGCTATTGGTCCTTCATTCTTCAAAGTCTCATTTTATCTAGAACTTTGAACATATTTATAACAATTTAATTTAAAGTCACTGTGTAAAACAAGTGCCAACTTTAGAATTTCTTCTGGATAGCTGCTACTGATTCCTTTTTATCCCATGAATGGGCCACACTTAGTCATGTTTCTTTACCTCTTGTTGAAAATGGACACTTATATAAAATTAATGTGGCAAACGAGGCAACTTAGATTCCTTCTCTTCTGTAGAATAACAACCTGGACTTTTCTTTTCCCTTTGGAGTCTACATGGTTATAAACTACCTGTTGATGTCTATTCCTGTTTGATTTTAAGGTTTCTATAAGGACAGGGAATGCTTTGCTATTGCTGTCAGTCCCACGTATCTTATCCACAAACGGATAGCTACACTTGTTTATTTTTGGAAATGACCTAAAAACTAATTCTGAAGGCAAAAAGTTATCATCATAAAGATTCTATGGAGGAATTTAACTGACAAAAGGTGGTCTTTTGTGAAGTATGGTGGTCAGAACACTGGTCATCTAGACCAACGCCTAATCTGGTCAGGGTCACTAGTGTACACATGAGTACTCAATGCAGGCAGGAATCTGCCAGGCACACTGAGTAACCAGAACTTCCCCAGAGAATCAAATAAATGCTAAGAGATATGAAAAATCACATATTCTTAAGAGTTTTAAAAAAGACTAAAAAACAAAAAAACATAGGATATAAACACACCCGTGTAATTCAGAGCTGATCCTAACACATTAATTGAAAGTCTTTAGTGATTCAGTTAAGAACATGACCAGCTATTTATGGGAATATTTTTTAAAACAATGTTTTTAAAACAACCTGGCTCACTATTCTCTGCCCTTCTTTGCCTTACACTCTCAATTATTTTTATTAATCTTTTCCAATTTTCTCAGAAAATTATTCAAACAAAAAATTTCAGTGAACTCTAACTGGCAAAATTAATTGTAAAGCTGAAACTGATAGCTCTACAAAGGGAAATTCAAGTGTAGTCAGTCAACTCAAAGAATCCAATTTAAATATTTGCATTTCATCTTCATTAATCTTATTATTAAGTTTATTTATTTTAAGGAAAAATGCAATACCAAAATAAACCAATGAACAGGTATTATTGAAGCACACAATGCCAAATGGCTCTTCTAGAGCAAAACTTTCATCTCATTCTGGTACATTGCATTACTTAACCCATCATTGAATACATGTTATTATGTATTTTATGTATATAGAGAAAAAAGCATTACACTGAGAAATCAAGTAAAATCTTCCAATATATATTTTTCCATTTGCCATCAAGTACATTAGTGTTTTAAATTTTAATAAGTAATCTCACTAACAAATCTCCTAAACCATTTTAAGTCCTTTTCTGGAACAAGGCTGAACATAAAATATATAGCCAATATTGCTCAAGTGCTACAGACCAAATTGCTTCACATCACAGATCAGCGCTTTAACTTGGATTTTTAATAATAAATTCTTTGTGGTTATGTAATTGAATCTTTTGACATTTATTATCACATGCACTAATGTTGTTGATTTAAGTTTTCAAATTCAAAAATCAAGGGATTTCATTAATCCTTCATAAAACATATCGCAAAGTCAAAGTATTTAAAGGGGGGAGTTTAAACAAAATCAAACATTTAATGCAACATTAAGCATGTGCAAATAGAAACTTGATGCTAAGGAAAGCATGCTATGCTGTTACCCTGGTGACAGGTTTAAAAAGGATTCTGAGCTGAATAGGCCTTGTATGATATGAAATTAAAATGTTTCACATTGACCAATCCAAGATGAATTGGAAAGGTTAGAGTAGAGGAGAGAGAAATGAACTTCCAATGGCAAATTGGTGAATGGGAAGAAGTATGAATAGAATTTGCGCAGTGGGGTGTAACAGCTGCCAAATATCCTGCAGCCAAAGAAATTTATAATAATACTGGATGAAAGTGTGCAAGAGTCTTTTGGAGGTGCATTGCAGGGAACAAGCGAAATTCTCCCAATAATAAGC